AACCATCTCCAATGGTTCTCTATAATGCCTGCTGTCCTTGCAGCTCCATACAGCAAGAGTGAGGAGGTGGTCTTATTCTATTTAATTAGCTTAATCTGATTTATAGAAAAATGAAGCTCATAATTGTTTTCGTTGCTCTTTCTATGATAGCCTCACTCGGGTTAGCATCCGATCCTAGTCCCCTGCAGGATTTCTGTGTCGCGGACGACTACAGCAAAGGTACTCTTCTCATCAAATACTACAACATCCACAATCTCTTATATTTTACTTTATTTTTACATTGAAGAAGAATCGAAAGCTTAGTGCACGGCTAGGGCTTGAAGCCTACACTTTTTCGATTACAACATGCTAATCACATTTTTCTCTTTGGTCTCCCATGCAGTGTTTGTGAATGGCAAAGTTTGCAAAGACCCGATGTTGGCGACAGCAAATGACTTCTTCTATGACGGACTCGACAAGCCTGACAACACAAGCACTCCTTTAGGTTCAGTGGTCACCTCAGTTAATGTAATGCAAATGCCTAGGCTCAACACTCTAGGTATAGACTTCGTTCCTGGTGGCAAAAACCCTCCCCACACACACCCACTTGGCACCGAGATCCTCACGGTTTGAAGCCACAGCAAGTTGTCACAAGGCAAAGCAAGGAGTCGGATATTCTTTTTCATCTCACTAACAAAGGAACATTCAAGAGCAAATGGGAAGGTCCGTTCATAGTCAAAAAGGTCACACCAAACGGGGCCTATGTATTGGCAAACTCGGATGGAGGAGAGGCAATGCCCCCTATCAATGGTCAATACCTAAAAAAGTATTATCCTTGATGTATCCCTAAAAGGCGGTATGTATAGCAAGAAAATAAGGAAAAAGAAAAGAAGAACATCGAGCCAGTTCAAAAGAAGTTCGTTTCTTTCATTGCATTAAAAAGAGTTACAAGTTACAATCAAAGGCCCATTAGTAGGAAGGGACCCTCTATGTCGACTTTGTGACCAGCAATCCCGAAAACCTTTTGATTAGCAAGACACTGAACAAGGGAGATGTGTTTGTGTTTCCTCAGGGCCTCATTCATTTCCAGCAAAATGTGGGCTATGGCAATTCTGTTGCGATTGTAGGTTTGAGCAGCCAGAATCTAGGGGTGATAACCATAGCTACCGCTGTGTTTGGAGCCGACCCGCCAATCTCTGATGTTGTTCTTGCAAAGGCCTTCCAAATTGATAAAAAATTGGTTGATAAACTCCAGGCCAGCTTCTGGATGGATACTAACTAGAACATCAAGGTCAAGCGGCCCTCATTACCATATGATAGATATTACCCATGGGGATGAATGTATTGAATATAGGGTAACTTTCATTTGTACGTTCTTTTAATTTTTTCATTTCCTGTGGAGTGTGGACTATAATATTATAATAAAATTGGTCTAGGCAATGAAGTATATCACTTTGGAGACACGTTTCTATTACACCGAATGATCTATATTACACATGCTTTTCGAATAATAAAGGTTGTGGTTGTCTATCATAGTCTCGCCTAGGTTTGGATTTAAGAGCCCAGGAATGAGGTGTGATTTGGTGTTTAAGAATACCGCAATGGCATAGTTTGGGAAATCTATGATAGGAAGTGTTCGCTTGGGTTTCCCATTTGAGTTCCATGAAAATAACTTTTGTTTGGGATCTAAGGGCCCGTTTGGGTCTTTGTATCTCTATTTGATAGATTTATCCTATTGTGGTTTGAGGTTATCAATATTTAAGAAAGGTTGCGGTTTTTATAAGGTTGTAACCTTAAACAATCCAATTAAGGCGTACCTCCAAATTTTATCATAACATGTAATTTTGTTATAAAAGTTTTCTAGAATTATCTTAAAAGCTATTTTCATATCTAATTAGAAAATTTTAAACTTCAAAAATGGTTAAAATCAAGTAGATCTATAAACATATGAAAATCTTGAAAATGGACGGTCTAGATAATGTGTTGCAAGATGCACTATTTTTGAGACTCAATTTTTTTTTTTTTTTAATATTCATAGATCTCGATGTCTAGATGATCAATTAGAGGGCTTTTCAACATTAAAACAGTCTTTCTGATAGATTTTTGAGGTGCATACGTGATTCTACATTTAGGTTGCAACCTTATATAAACTTTTCCCTTTAAGAAATTCCTTAAATAGTTAAATTTTATGTTCATACCAATTTTCTCAAAAGTATTTCATTTTTCTCAAATTGCCCCTGTTTAAGTCCTTGATGGACCCAAGTTTTTTATTTGTTTTCTCATAAACTTACTTCGGAGTTTGAAAATTTGAATCTCAAATCAACATCGTTCATATGGGACATCATTTGAGTTCTATTGGAGATCTGAACAACAAAAACCTCTTTGAATGTCTCTTTTGTTACACCAAAGCTCTATTTACCAATGCTTGAAGCCCATAACAGACTCCAAAGTCTTGTTACATTCAAAGAGAGAAACAGAGTAAAATGAGTATAGAGATAGAGAGAGTTGAGCTCCTTGTTACGCTCTCTAGAATTTCATAGAGAATGGTGTAAGAAGATGTATTAGAAGAGTGATGCCTGAGTGTAACTCGTATATGAAAAGGACCCCTTTTATAGAGCTTCTAGAGACTATCTATTTACTGTAGGAGTGGATACATGCACCACGAACAGTCACAATTTCAACGCAAACGCCCATATCTAAGATGGAAGAAATAAAATGTTACAACCACTGAAAGTTATATATATATATATATATATATATATATATATATTGATAG